CTTGGAGCTGATAAGCCCCAGTTTCTATCTGCTCGTCTCCGAGATTCTGGATGGATCACCACTGACTGCCCAGAACCCCAGCAGAATTAAACATTCAGCTAATGACAGTAGTTCTGGTTTGCCAGTGTACTGACTTTCTGTTACTGGCAATTTCCAGCCAGCGAGCGGACAGGAGGAGCTTGCATTTTCATAGCACCTTCCCTGGCCCTGTTGCGCCGCAGAGCTTCAGCCTGTCTGATGCCCGGCCCATGGTTTTGTGAGGTGAGGGGGGAGGGTGTGCAGTAACCCGCCTGAAAGGGCAGACAAGACGTTGTTTCTGATATGCCAACAGAAATTTGGCATATCCCTATCTTCAGAATCATGACCAAAATTATTGATAGCAAAAGGGGAAAAACCCAGCTGCACTGTGGGCAGCGGAGCGTTTTGGAATATGTGCGGTTATCTTGTGCATGCTAAAGAGCTGCCTTAGGGGTGGCACGGTGGCACACCGCTGCCTCACAGCACCAGGAACCTGGGTTCGATTCCAACTGTCTGTGTGGAGTTTGCACATTCTCCCCGTGTCTGCGTGGGTTTCCTCCGGGTGCTCCGGTTTCCTCCCACAGTCCAAAGATGTGCACGTTAGGTGGATTGGCCATGATAAATTGCCCATAGTGTTCAGGGAGGTGTAGATTATGTGGGTTATAGGGGGATGGGTCTGGGTGGGATGCTCTGAGGGTCGGTGTGGACTTGTTGGGCCAAGGGGCCTGTTTCCACACTGTAGGGACTCTATGATCTATAAGCTGGAGAAAGCAGTATTGTGGGGGTGCTGCAGTGCCACCACTGGCGAGCATTTGTTATTGCTGTGTGACCTGTTCCTCTGATGCTGCTTGGCCTGCTGTGTTCATCCAGCTCTACACTTTGTTATCTCAGATTCTCCAGCATCTGCAGTTCCTACTATCTCTGACCTGTTTACATACGTGTTTACCTCTGGGAAATTAGAGGAACACTTTCTGGGGTTTTTAATCAACAGGAGTGCTCTGTCTGCTTGCTCTTTCAGAATTTTAGCAAGTTTTTTTTGCTTAAATTCAGAAATTAGGAGGAAAGAAAATCACTATCCTTGATTGACCAAAGCAAGTCATCTACCAGTAAAAAAAATCTGCCAGTAGGTTATGCATAGGTCATTTTGGGTTCACAGTATCGCTGTGATGTTTTACTACCAAGTTGAATGTATGTTTAAAACCACGACTGGCATAGTGCATGACACAGACGGCTTCACTCGAGGGTCAGCCAGACATTAATTGTGGCAAAGTGAGGCTCCTGTTTATTGGCAGTTCAGCCAGTCTTTGAACAGAAGCTGGTTATCAATATGCATGAGAGAGTGCAGTGAAAACTGGCTCCTGTTTATTTATAACACGTCAGTGCTTGACTGTTGAAAATTAAAGAATGATCTGATCGAAGGGTTTGAGATCACAGATTTGTTAGGGTGCAACAGAGGCCACTCAGCCCATTGTGCCTGGACTAGCTTTCGAAATGAGCACTGTCTCCTGCCTTATCCCGTAACCCTGCAAATTGTTTCTGTTTCAATACCTTTATTGAACCTGCTTCCAACACATTTCCAGGCATTGCATTATAGACCCAGACCACTCGCTGAGCGATAAAAGTTCTTACTCTCACCTCACGTTTGCCTGTTTTTCGAAACACTGTTAAACGGTGCCTTCTGGTTCTCGACCCTTTTACAAGCAGGAACAGTTTTTCCCAACAGAAACAGAAATTGCTGGAAAAACTTAGCAGCTTTTCCCCTATCAACTTTATCCAGCCCACTCGCGATTTCGAAAACCTCAATCAGATCGCTTCTCAGACTTCTGCTTTCTAAGGAGAACGGTCCCAACTTCTTCAGTCACTAAAGCTTCTCATCCCTGGAACCATTCTCATAAACCTTGTCTGCACTCCAATGCTTTTGCATCTTTCCTGTAATGATTCACCCAGAACGCCAGCCGAGGTCAACCAAGTGTCTTATACATGATTCAAGGATTTGATACAGAAACTGGTTCCTCTAGTGTGGACAGCCCATGCTTTTGAACTGTAAAATCTGAGCCAGGCCTTTCAGGGTGATGTTAAGAAATATGTCCTCACGGGAAGAGGAGCAGGAATCTCCCCTCACTCACTGAGGCTGAGGAGGGGTGTTAAGGCCGGTTAATCAATTAGAATTTGCAAAACTGAGATTCAGACTTGTAGGCAGAGAGAGTTAAAATGCAGATTAATCCCCAATCTAATTGGGTACTTGGGTGAGAGGTTATTATGTCTCCTCTTGTTCTGAAGTCACTGAACTTGTGCCACTTTGTATAAAGCCTTGAGAGAAGTGTAGAAGTATCAATGAGCTCCCACACTACACAGATGTTGAGCCAGGGTCAAGCTATTTCTCTTATCAATATTTCTTGTTGTGTCTCCCAATACATCCAAAAAAAACAACCGGTTGTGGACGTGAACATTTCTATCTGCTTGGTGTCTGTGCGTGTTTGTGTATATACGTTTGTGTGTGAGTGCACGTGTGTGCACATTCTGTGCTTTGCATCTGTACACATCTGCATGTGTGTTTGTGATCATGTGTCTGTGTACGCCCTGGAATGTATGTGAATGTGTGAATATATATGTGACCGTGCAGCTTGATGGATACAAGGATTGAGTGATTTTAGTTGTTTTGAGGGACTGGAGAATCTGGGGTTGACCTCCTTGGAACAGCTTAGGTGAAGGGGAAACGATGGCTAACACTACAACTGCTGGGAATGTGAAATGCAAACAGGACAACACTGGGAATACTTGCAGGTTAGGCAACTTCTGTGGAGAGAACCAGATTTAATGTTTCAGATTGGGTGACCTTGGCCCAGAGTGTTTGAGATCTACCTGAAGTAATTCAAATTATAACATAGAAACATGCCAGGACTGGAGGGTTTGAGTTGTAAGGAGAGGTTGGATAGGCTGGGACTTCTTTCATTGGAGCACAGGAGGTTGAGGGGTGGCCTTGTAGTGGTTTATGAAGTCATAAGGGGCATAAATAAGGTGAATAGCAAAGATCGTTTACCTAGAGTGGGGGAGTTCAAAACTAGGGGTGTATTTTTAAGGGGAGTGGAGAAAGATTTAGAAGGGACCTGAGTAGTAACTTTTTCACACTGTTGGTGGTTCATAATTGGAAGGAACTATCAGAGGAAGTGGTAGACCCAGGTACAGTTACAACATTTGGACAGGTACGTGATTAGGAAAAGTTTTAAGGGAAATGGGCCAAATGATGACAAAAGGGAAACTTGGTCAGCATGGATGAGTTGGACCGAAGGGTCTGTTTCTGTGCTGTATGACTCTGTGACTCCAACTCTGTATAAACTAAGAGCAGCAGTAGGCCATTGGGCCCTTCAAGCTTGTTCTGCCATTCAGTATAATCATGTCTGATCATCTAACTCAGTATCCTGTTCCTGCTTTCTCCCCCATACCCTTTAGCCCATATAAATGTATCTTAACTCCTTCTTGAAATTATTTAATGTTTTAAACTCAACCACTTTCTATGGAAGAGAACTCCACAGGCTCACCACTCTCCGGGTGAAGACATTCTTCCTCCTCTCAGTCTTAAATGAACTTCCCTGTATCCTTAGACTTTGACTCCTGGTTCTGGACTCCCTGGTCATCGGAAACATCCTCCCTGGGTTTACTCTGTCTAATCCAGTTAGGATTTTACAGGTTTCTATGAGATCCCACCTCATTCTTCTGAACTCCAAAGAATAAAGCCCTAACTGATCCAGTCTCCCTTCATACATCAGTCCAACCATCCCAGGAATCAGCCTGGTAAACCTTTATTGTTCTCCATTCATAGCCGGAACATCCTTTCTTAGATAAGGAGACCAAAACTGCAAGTGGTACTCCAGGTGAGGTCTCACCAAGGTTCTGTGTAATTGCAGCATCCTGAAACGTGTTTCCTGTAAAGGCATAGAAAAAGATCCCGAAGTAACTTAGAAGTAACTTCTAAGAAGGGTTTTAGAAGGGGGCTGATATTTGCAGAGCCGCAGAATGGTGGTGGGATTACTGTATTTAGACAGTTCATTCAGAGGAATAATTAGCCCAAATAGTCAGCTCCCCTGTGATCGACAATTGTTCCCAAAGGCAACAGTAAACATGGACCAAACCAGTCCCCTGAAGCAGCCATTGAGCTTCCCTTATACACTGTGCTGGAACTTGATAAAGAGTAGCTTGGCAGGGTTATAGGAAAAGAGGTGTTGTGGGACTAATTGGAGAGCTCCAACGCAGAACCAAGGCACTTACGATGGGCTGGATGGCTTCCTCCTAGCCAAGGCAACTGGGTTTCATTCATGAGATGTGGGTGTCATTGTCTGGGCCAACATTTATTGCGCTTGCCTAGTTAATCTGGAGAAGGTGGGAATGAGCCGCCTTCTTGAACTGGTGCAGTCTGTGGCCTGAGGATTAACTTCCTCAAGAACTCCCCCAGAATACTGTGCTCACTGGGAAGTGTTAGAACAGAGTGAAGTTTTTGTGTTGTGAAGTGACTAGGAGTTAAGATGCTGATTAAAAATAGATGCTTGATACAAAAGCACAATGTGTTGGAGAAACTCAGCGGGTCTGGCAGCATCTGAGGAGAGAGAAACAGTTTTGAGTTCAGTGGCCCTTCATCAGAATTGGATGCTTGATGACTAGCCTGGGCACGATGGAATGAAAGGCCATTTTCTGCATTGTAAAGCCCATATGACTCTATGACTTTGAGCTGTGTTGTACTGGAGTGGTGGATGGGGTTGGCAGGGCTGTCCCTATGTATCTTAAATGAAGAGAGTGAGGCAAAGGGGTTAAGAGAGCAAATTTTGAATATCATGAAAGACGTGGCATCCAACATTGCTGAGGTCAACTGGGAAAGATTATTCACACAAGTCTGTTAGTTTTGAAGGGAGTCAGGTTTTAAGTTGTCACAGGTGGAGCATTATATTTCTGTCATTTTTTATGTTCCTTTCTCCTACTTCTAACTGCAGGTAAATCTCATGTAGAAAATGGGGATTCGAATTACACCACGGTACCTGGACCACCTTTCAAGGAGGTCTGGCAGGTTAACCTTCGACCCCGGGGCCTGGGCCAGACGCGGAACATGAGCGGTATTTACCGGCTGTGCCTGACAGATAAGACGGTCAACCTGGTGAAGCTGAACTCTGATGCTGCAGCTGTAGTGCTGCAGCTGATGAACATCCGTCGGTGCGGGCACTCGGAGAATTTCTTCTTTGTGGAGGTGGGGCGCTCGGCGGTGACAGGGCCTGGGGAGTTCTGGATGCAAGTGGATGACTCGGTGCTGGCCCAGAACATGCACGAGACCATCCTGGATGCCATGAAGGCCATGAGCGAGGAGTTCCGGCTGCGCAGCAAAAGCCAGTCATCGGGCTCCAACCCCATCTCGGTGCCGACCCGCAGGCATCACCAGCTTCCGTCCAACCCGCCCCCTAGCCGGGTGGGCTTCACCATGAGGCGGGGAGTGCCCACCTCACCCGGGCAGCGATCCAGCTTCACCCGGGCACGGACACCCAGCGACGGCAGCGGTGCTGCCTCCTCCTCTTCCTCCCGCCCCCCCTCTGCTGACGAGTCACCTTCCAGCCCTCCACCCCGCCAAGGAATGCCCGGGGCCCACCCTCCCCCGGTTCCGTCCCGCTCAATCTCTGACCCGGCCTCCAGCCCCCTCGGCCTCCCCCATGGTGGCTTCTCCTCTTCCTCCTCACTGCCCTCCTCCTCCCCCTCCTCCTCCTCCTCCTCCGATGGCGAGGGTTACGAGTCCAGCCCTGGCTCGCCAGCTGCGGGTGGACGGAGCCCCCTCCGTGACTATGTGGCCATGGGGGGCGGTCCGGGCTTGGCGGGGCACCGGCAGCCGCAGTGCCAGCGGCGTTTGCTGAGGAGGGCTGGCAGCCGTGGAGAGGAGGAGGAAGAGGCCGACAGGGGCCTGACCAAGCAGGCCTGGTCAGCCAGGGTTGTCCCCGAGCCCACTGAGAGAGGCCGCGGTCAGGCAGCAGACCAGGGTTATGTGGCTATGCTGCCTGGGGTGATGCCACCGGGAGATGGTGACGACGACGACTACATGGCGATGACCCCCAAAGGCCCTTCTGCCCCTCGGCAGATTGAGAGCCCGGGAGCAGCAGCTCTCGCGGGGGGCTACGTGCTGATGTCGCCCAGCGGGAGCTGCTCGCCAGATGGCTGGGCCCGGCCCCTAGGGGGCGGCAGTGGTACAGGAGGGGCGGGTGGTGACTACATGAACATGTCACCTGCCAGCTGCTCAGCCTCCAGCACCACCCCCTCCTGCCACCAACGCTGCACCCCCAGGCCTCGCAAGGATGGCCCCACCCCCCCTGACCACCACCCCCACTGCTACCACTCCCTGCCCCGCTCCTACAAGCAGCTGGACCCGGCTCTCTCTGCTGCCTCGGGACACCTCGTACCCTCCTCCTCCTCAGGCTGCCTTGCACCCTCCACCTTGGGCCACTTTGCACCTTCCTCCTCTACCTCCTCCTCCTCCCCAGGGCGCCTTGCGCCCTCCTCCTCCTCAGGACGCCTTGCGCCCTCCTCCTCAGGACGTCTCACCCTCTCCTCCTCCTCCTCAACTGGCAGCAGTGAGAGCTTGACAGAGGCTGAAAGTGGGCAGCACCTCACCCGCCGCCAGCCTGGACCCTCCCTTGACCTGGTGAGGGCCACCACCCTGCCTCGGCGGAGAGAGAGCTCACTCCCTGCTGAGCCCCAGAGCCCGGGCGAGTACGTCAGTATCGAGTTCCGGGGCCCACCGGGTACCGCGTGCTCCCCAGCTGGGCTTGCCCAATCCATGGGAGGACCCCGAGTGACTCCCTCTGAGTATATCAACATGGATTTCAGGCCTGAGGCCCATCCTCCACTCGGCCTGGTGAAGAGCTCCCATGGGGCCCTGGCCCAGACCTGGCGGAGGTTGGGCAGTCCAGTTCCTGGTGACTCAGCCTGCCCCCTGGTGGCAGCCTTGCCCGAGGTGGCCCTGGACTCCACTGGGGAAGCGGGTCCCGGAGCCCGGGGGGTTTGTGCCGAGCCCCAGCGACGCCGGCGTCATTGCTCCGAGACCCTCTTGACCACCCTCCATGCCCCTGGGCCCTCAGCGACCTGCTCCCATCTCCCTAGGCGCAGGGGCTCTACCTCCTTCGAGGGCGCTGATGATGGAGATGTAGCCACGGAGGCTCCGTGTGCCGGAATGTCGCGACACATGTCTATTGGCTTCGAGAACGGCCTGAACTACATCGACCTGGATCTGGGAACGGACAGCGTCTGCGCTGATGTGTCTGCCTTGCAGCCGAGACTTTACACCCAAACCAATGGGAGTGGCACCTTGAACACGTATGCCAGCATCGACTTTCACAAATCTGAAGAATTGAGAAGCCATAAAAGTAACAAAGACGGTGAGTGGACTCTGTGTTACCTGGTTTCTATCAGTCAGTCATGTCTGTTGTAAATCCCAATGAGGATGGATTCGTATGTAAACATGTCACGCTGTAATATAATGGTATGTAATGTTAGAATGCCCTCTGAATTATAATCTATTATAATCTCTCAATCATCTGAGCAAAGGGCTAGCTGATGCATATGTGTTGAATTCCTCATTGGGATATAAAGTGAAGTTGTTGAATTTGAAACAAGAATTCTAAACCTTATCAAAAGAAACAACAAAGGTTCATATACTGCGTATGCACCAATGGACTGCATAACCATTTAAAGGCATGACAGTATATTTACAATACATAATATTTTAAGGCATGTGCATCCATTGCAAAAATTCTGCATTCCATCATGACACAACAAGAAATGTGGCCCAGCCATGGCTAACAAAATATAATAGTAGATACACGGGTAGTAGTACAAAGTTGCTGTGAAATGTAGCATGCAAGAAACCTAAAAGTAGACTGCAAGAGCTTCTTTAAATATATTGAAAGAAAATAAGTTTTGTGTAGACAAATGTAAAGCTGAAATGAGAATTTATAATGGAGAATTAGGAAATGGCAGCGAAATTAAATAACTATTTTACAATTACGTCCTGGAAATATTGGGAAAACAAGGGTTTTTGGGAAGGATGAATTGAAGGAATTTAATGTTAATGAAAAAAATGTGCTAGAGATAATGAATGCTAATTAATGCATCCCGAAGCCTGATAATCTAAATCCAAGGATACTAAAAGAAGTGGCTATGAAAAAAGTCGATGTGTTGGTTGTCATCTTTCAAAATTCTGTAACAGTTGCAGCAGATTGAAGGGTGGCAAGTATGACTCTACTATTTAATAAAGGAAGCAGAAAAGAAGAAATTACAGACTGGTTTGCCTACTATCTCTAGGAGGAAAATGTTAGTGTCCGTTGAAAATAATGTGATAACGGATGTTTCGAATGAACTTATACATTCAAAGTCAACTTGGATTTATGAAATGGAAATTTTGTTTGACTGCAGTTTTTTGAGTATTTAACCTAGAATAGATAGGGGAGAACCAGTGGATGTGGTGTATTTGGATTTTCAGAAAGGTTTTGATAAAGTCCCACATGAGAAGTTTTGCTCAACGTCAAAGCACTTGGAATTGGTGGTAGTATAGATTGAGAATTGGTTAGCAGACGGAAAGCTGTGGAGGCTGAGTCACTGAGTATATTTCAGAAAAAAAATCAATGATTTCTAGAGGCTAAAGGTGTTAAGCAGTATGGAGAGAGCAGGATAATGGTATTGAGACAGAGGATGATCATGTTGAATGGTGGAACAGGCTCAGTGGGATGAATGGCCAGTTCCTGCTGCCATTTTCAATGTTTCTTTATTTAATTGTGCCTTTTGTGAAGTGCTTTGTGATACTGTTGCTTCATTAAGGGATTTACGTAGCTGTGAGTTGTAGTTAGTTTAGTTGCATATCCTTGTTGCACTGATGATCGAGGAGCCCCTGAAATTACAGTAGTTGCTCATACTTTGATTTAAACCAGGACTGTGTGTGTGTGTGTGTGTGTGTGTGTGTGTGTATGTATGTATGTGTGTATACATATACGTGTGTGTCAGTGTGCCTGCTATGCCCTTGTGCGTATGTGTCCGTGTCTGTCTTGCTATGTGTGTCTCAGTGCGTTGGTAGCAAAGCATTGGTGTCAATGAGGTTAGAGTTGTGTGGTGCCATGTGTGAAATCCTGTCTCCTATCTGTGGAAAGGTAATTTGAGAGAGTGGCTGAAGGACGCAGGCACCTGTAAATCCAGCAACCTAACCCGAGCCAGGGCTCACTGGAGAGAGAGGAAACCACACATGCTCCATACTGCTGGAAGAGGATGGGTTAAATTTCCCTGCGCACAGCTGAGCTTCAATTCCTGCATGTCCTTCACAGCTTTTTCTCTCCCTCATCTCAAAGAGAGAATAGCATGTTTTATGAAGTAGCTGTGAGTGCAAATGAGTGAAAAAGCATTTAACACAGCCCATGTCTGTCACTGCTCAGATCTCTCACAACACAACAACAATGAATGAGTCAGTGAGACTAACGTGACGCATAGTGTCTGTGAGAAATTAAACAGGCGCAGGGCAAAACAGTCAGCACTCGTGGGCTCAAGTGGGTACTGATTTTTGCCTTTAGTAAACGTGGCACAGCCCACACAGGATGTCTGCCTTCACCATCAGTATCACTCCGTGAGTCACTGTCTTGTCACTAGCAATCAGAGACTCATGGATTCAAGCCCCAATTGGGTAACTGCACATTGTACTTCAGACCAAAATAAATCTGAGACCGTGTAGAGGACATGCTGCATTGTCTGAGAAACTTTTTATTTTAAACGGAGGCCTTGCCTGCCGTCTCAGACTGTACAAAATAGTGCAGGTGTTACTGTTTGAGTGAGTTGGATTAACATCAGTAGAGACACAGTCAGTAGCACCGGGGGTGAGGGGTGACTGAGTGATACTGTGAGGGAGCTTTCAGTAGTGATACAGTCAGTAACACAAAGGCATGCTGAACTGTTTAGTAATTTTAGAATGTACCTGAGTTGACACATTGGATGCCTTCTTGTCAAAGGCAATTAAGCAATGGATGGGACAGGACTAAATTTCTTAAGCAACAGTTATCTTCACAGAATATTGAACGAAAGCTGCAATGCACATTCTGCTCAATTCCCTGAAACATGTTCAATCCAGAGAGAGAGGTGCTTCTGCCCCCTAACCATCTGGGACTGACTTGTGCCTTCGTTATCAGGTGATGTCTTAACCAAAACTCCCGAAGATATGCAGGTTAGGTGGATGCTAAATTGCCCATGGTGTTCAGGGATGTGTAGATTAGGTGGGTTATGAGGGAACGGTCTGGGTGGGATGCTGTGAGGGGCAGTGTGGACTTGTTGGGTCGAAGGGCCTGTTTCCACACTGTAGGGATTCTATGATTTTCTATGATTTTATGAAAACTCCCCATCCCCAGCCCATCACCAGCACTACCCCATGCAAAGCACTGTGGGAATACCTGACAAGTGCGAGCGCCATTCCCAATGATCTTCCAGTTTCCACCCAACGCTGGACCCTTGCTCTGGAGAGCTCAGAGCTGGGTGTAGATACACGGTGGGGAGGTGGGGGGTGGGGTGGCGGGTATCCAGGCCTGGGGCTTGCCTTTGACTCGGGGCAAGGGATTCAAAGTGGATTTGTTGGGTTGGTTTGAGCTGGGTGCTTTCCATTATCAACCCCCCCCACCCCTCCCCAGTAGCCATCAGAGGCTGTCGGTTTGGTTGGAGCTAGAACATGCAATAAGTGGACGGTTAGGTCTGTGTTAGGGGGTGCACGGGAAAGCCATTTTTAAAAAAAACACAGTCGTCTCCATTCTGTGCATCGTTTTTTACCTGAGACTGTGTACTCATTCACCCAAGCACTGAAGCCAAATGCAAACACAATAATGGGAGCTGTCAAACACACATTGTACACAGACAAGATAAGAGCTATTGTGGTCTTGTCTTCAGGTACAATTAGCCTGTGATTAGCCACACTGTAATCAGCCGAGTATTAAAACAAGCAGATTACTCTTTAAATGTATGCTTAGAGCCCTAATTATATCATGGGATACAACATGTGAGGGACACCATTCTGCTCTTGTGTCTGTGCTAGCTTTACAAAGCATATCCCCTTGTCAGTCCCACTCCCCATTTGTCTCCAGTGAGTTCTCCGGATGTGGTAGTGTAGGGGTAATGTCACTCAGCTAGCAATCCTGAGGCTGCAGCAATTACTTTGGGGACACAGTTTTAATTCCCATCTCAGCAGCTGGTGGAATTTAAATTCAATTAATAAATCTGGAATTGAAGTTAGTCTCAGCGGTGGTGACCATGACAACCATCAGTGATTGTCAGAAATATCCATCTGGTTCTTTAGGGAAGGAAATCTGCTGTTCTGACCCAATTTGGGCCTACCTGTGACTTGAAGCCTTCAGTCAATGTGGTTTCTTTTTATCTTCCATCCGAAATAACCATGTGAGCCCCTCAGTTCGAGGGCAATAAGGATGGGCCACAAATGGTATAAAAAGAATTATGCCACATGAGTACTGAGGGAGTGCCACACTATCGGAAGGTCAGCGCTGATGGTGTGCCACAGTTTTGGAGGGTCAGCGCTGAGGGAGTGTGTTCTGACAACAAGATTTTCTCAGTCGGTGTTTAAGGGAGAGTTCTAAACTCCCTAAATACAATTCATCTGTCATCAAACTTTGCTGAAACCCAGAAGAACCCATAAAGACTTTGGGAAGAGAGACTAAATTCAGATTTCGGATGATCAGTGGCCTCTGTCAGGACAAACATACTTCCAGCATTTCAGCTTCGCCAGTGTTTAGCTGTGAATAACTGGTGACTGCTCTGACACTTATGGTCTTATGGCAGAGCAGTTGTGTTATTGTGCATATTTAAGCTTCTAAAGATTCAAGTCCAGGAGGTTAACTTCAAACATAGTGTACAGGACAAGCTCCAGAACTGATTAAAAACTCAAAAGAACTGCGGATGCTGTAGATCAGGAACAAAAACAAAGTTGCTGGATTCTGAGGATGGGTCACTGGACCCGAAACGTTAACTGTTTTTTCCTTCACAGATGCTGCCAGACCTGCTGGGCTTTTCCAGCAACTTTGTTTTTGTTCCAAGCTCTAGAGCTGCTCCAGTGCACTTGTTTGTGGCTGTCATTTTCTGTTGCCTTTGGAAATGATTGTCCACCACAGGAGATGACCATTTAGGCCCATCGTCTTTCTGAATGAACTGTCTAATACAGTAACCCCACTGTCACTGGTTCCTTTGTGGCCCTGCAAATAGTACCTCTCCCTTCCCTATTTCTGGTATTTGCACAAGGATTACGCAAATGTCAAACTCCAGTCAGCACATGGCCTTGTTGGGCAATCAGCTGATTACATTCGATAAATTAGTCACCGTTTGAAAGGTTTCTCCTGCCCACCCCAGC